CTTCAGGGATGGGGCCTCAACAACTTCTCTGGGCAACCTGTTCCAGTGCCTTACCACCCTCAGAGTGAAAAATTTCTCCCTAATATCTAATCTAAATCTACCTTCTTCCAGTTTGAAGCCATTCCCCCTTGTCCTGTCACTACATGCCCTCGTAAAAAGTCCCTCCCCAGCTTTCCTGTAGGCCCCCTTTAGGTACTGGAAGGCTGCAATAAGGTCTCCCTGGAATCTTCTCTTCTCCAGGCTGAACAACCTCAACTCTCTCAGCCTGTCATATAGATCCTCCCTCCTGGGGAAGAAGCTTCCTGTTGTGAAGTCCTCAGTGAAGAGGACTTGTGCCAAGCTGGGCAGAACAACTCCTGTTGTAAACACCATCACCACCCCATCCTGTCCTCCTCTGCACAGTGCCCTGTATCTCCCAGGAGAGCTGGAGGTGCAGGGACAGGCTAGTGCAGCCATCCCCCTTGCTGAGGAATGAGAAAATCAGGAAAGTCCCCGACAGGGAGAGCACCCTCAAGTCCCACATAACTGTAGGGACCATGTGCCTCCTGGCCAGATGTGGGCAGAGGTGAGATGCAGCTCTGGGTAGGCACACTGCTGCTCAGTGCACCCCGAATAGCTCTTCCACTGCTGCTGCGCTTCACCGGTGACATCCACTGCAGCACCCGTCTCAAATGGAACAGGCCTGAAAGCAGCCAAGTGGCTCTATTTAAAACTAAAGAGGAAAGTGCAAAGCTTTGAAGTCAGAAGGCATATAATGAATTCAGCAAAACTTCGTATTTCAAAGCCGGTTCTATTTGCAGAAGCCATCTGCCCAGAGAAAAGCTCGAACATGCACCTCTGATAGGAGTCAAAAGAGTTGAGGGAAACAGATCTCATTGAGGATGTTTCACATCATCCGTTCCCACAATATCTGAAATGTCACTTTGTAGTGGAGCAGCTTCCATCCTTATATCAATTACAACGTTTACATCCAGCTCCCCCGGGGTTGCTGGCATTTGAAGCAACTGTCCAGTCCAGTAGCTCCCAGCAATTTCTAATGAGATATGCCAATAAGACATCACTGCTTGTCCCTCCTAATGATAACTATAAGCTCTCTGGAGCTTTCCCTTAAGCCACTATCTTACTTATCCCTTTATTGAGGATTATTGATCTTCCTCTCTCCCCTTGCCAGCACTCAGCTTTTAAGGCACAAATCCAGCAATGGCTCCATCCAGGAGGACAAGGGGTAGTGCGATGTGCAGCCCTTTCGCAGGAAAGGACCACAGCCCATGAGCCAGGTTATCATTGCGAGCAGCAAATGCAAACCCACCCCTTGGGCAGAACCAGCAACAGAGGGAAGCTTCTCCCAAGCATCACTTCCCCAGAGCACCCATCAGCTGTACCGGTTTGCAGCACGCAACTAGGGCTTACATTTCTGCAGCAAGGCAAAAAAAATACACCGTGTAAAGCTTGGAACAAGTCTATTTAAGAATTCCCTCTGATATCACTAGTCTTTCATATAGCCTGTAAGAGCCATTAAAATTCTCTCTGATAACTGGCTTCCCGAGAGCATGAGAGCCAGGCGAGACCACACCAGCCACAGACACTACCAATATTTCTCCTGGCTTAAAACAGACCCTAAAATAAGCCTGGAAGTCATCTGTGAGACCAGCCGATGTCATAGACTTTGAAGATTCATCTGTACATCACAAGGAAATGGAGAAAAGCAGAGGTCATTCCCGTGGGAAAAGGATGAAAACCATCACCAGAAGCTCACATCAGCCAGAAGCCGGGGCAGCCGTAGGGAGGTTGGCCACAGCCACTGGCCCTAGCAGAGCCTGGAGCTGTGTGAACGTCGACTGTCTGCGGGCAGTGTTTCCCCAGGTCTCTCCCCAGTGCTTTGCTGGTGTTTGCAGACCTGGTGGGATCATCGCTGTCTTTGAGAGTGGACAGTGACCCTAATGGAGGCAAAAGTTATCGAGGAGAAGAGGGAGGGTATAAACAGGCAGAGAGAGACAGATAACATGACTGTGTAAGCCTTGTTTTATTAGAAATCAGCTTTAAACCAGTTTCCTCTTATTCCTGGAATCCTGGCTTTCGTGTAACATTCGCTGGATACAGCCCACTGCAAATATGTACAGTTCTCACTGCTATAGCATCTCACCTCGTCACAATCTTTAATGTATTTTGCTTTAAGACATTCCTGTCAAATAATGATTTCTTCATCCATGATGGTTTGGTTAAGAAGTACCAGCCTTTTGCTCACCTGCACTCACATTTATGCCTGTGGCATCAGGTGGGAAACCAGTCCCAGCGCCCTGCTGCAGCATGTCACAGAGCCCTTCTAGGAAAGGTTCTGTAGCCCAAGGAGGAAGGAAAGTGCAATATTTTTCCTTGATGGCCTCGAAACAGAAGCTTTTATCTTCTGCAGTTTTGTCAGCCCAAGAGATTGATTGTTTTTCTGTGCCTGTAGCTGTGAACGAGTGTGGGGATAGAGATGCTCCTAGCTGTGACAACAATTCAGAGGGGTGCGCCAGAGCCCTGAGCCACACAGATAACGTGCAGAGGTCCAAGGCATGTTTATAACCCCACAATTGAAATCAGGCTGCAGGCACTCGTATACAGTCCCACCTCTGATCTTACTGTGACTCCAGGAGAGGGAGAAACTCCAGGCTTTTATGCAACTGCTCTGATTTCAGTCAGGCTCTGTCTGCACAAAGCTCTTCTTGGGTAAGGTCCTTGTCAGTGCCTGCACACCCAGAGGAGTGCATCTTCTGAGTCGACTTACTAGTGGTCTTAGAATAGCTGCTGTAAAGGAAAGAGCAGACTCACTCTGTGACAACTCTAATAATTAAAAATATTTTTTTTAAAAAAATTGATATTCACAGAAAGAAATTCAAACCGGAGCCTTACATTAACACTGCCTGATTTAACACAGCATCCTAACAGGATTCCAGACCCCACCTGAGCCATGTGGCACCTTCTCCAGCTGGTGTCTGCCAGGACAAACTCGTACAGGTACAATCCCCCCTAAAATGCTGAGGATCAGCTGCTTCTCACTGCCACACAATCTCCATGTCCGTCCTGCTGGAGCACCTCCCAGGAGCTGGTAGAAAACTTGCTCTATTGCTTCTGATGCCTAGTGCTAATTGCAAACAGAGGAGGCTGCTTAACACAGTGTAATCCTGTCCCTTTTAACTTCTGCTTTTTGGACAGTGCAATTTCTTTCTTCTTGGTTTTACTTTTCTAGGGGCTAATTTATTATCTGGACACCTTCTCTCAGCAGGTTACCTCCTTCCCACTTTCAGCCCAGCTGCCGTCTTCAGAGGCTCCGGGCAGCCAGATGGACTGAGGGATGCACACGTCGATTCATTGGCACTGCTTTTCGTGAAGGGTAAGAGAAGGATATGGCCAATTCCAGTGGCTGGTTTTGTCTACCTTTTCTTTTTAAAATGGCAATATCACACATACTATGGGGTTATTCCAAACCGAGCATTTTTTGCTTTTTCTTTCTCAGTTACAAAGCGAGTTGTCTGGCGGAGCAAGTTGCTCCATAAGTTGTCATTACTAGTGGTTAGTGCATTGCTGGGTTTTAATGCATAGAGGTGGGCACTGGACATTATCTAGAAATAGATGCTTTTTGGCCCCCAAAGACTATATGGCAGGAAGGGAGAGGGAACAGGAGCACCAAAAGCTGAAGCAATTTCTGAAGGTGGACAACAGCCGCAACACCCTTTTCCCACTATGGAGTCCAAAATGTTGGATTTGGAATCCAGGGCACTTGCTCCCAAGACTTTTTAAGCATATACACCAAGGAGCCAAGCAAGTAAAACAACAGCCGCCAAATTATTTGCATTCCAGCAATATACAACTGAAGTGCTAATACCTACCAGCTGTACCTACGTGTCAGCTTTTTGAAACTAAGGTAATTTCTTTGTTCTACCAAGAGGAGGAAAAGAAGGTCAGCAAAGACACGCTTAGTCCTGGCTCTGCACTGATAAGAGGGCTCGTGCAGGCTCTTCATTCTTCCTTGCTTCAGGAGGTCTGAGAAAGCAGGAGCTGGGCTCTGCTTCAGCACAGCCCGGCATTAAAACGGCATTCTTCGAAAAGCGCCTGCGATAAAATAGCATCTTCTTACTAAGAAGTGCTCCCAGCAAGGATCAGGGTCATAGCTGCTGATTTTAATGACAGAAAATGAGCTTGTGCCATATTACTTGTGCTATCATTGCAGAGCTAACTTGGCCAAGAGATAATTAATGGAAGATGTGTGGTTGAGTCCCCTGTGCTGCTCTGAAAGTCTCGGGCTGTAATTGGTACCACTGGCTCTTGTAAAATAAACTGTACTCCTGATCCAGCCCAGAAATCAAAACATGGTGCTCTGAAATCAACATTTTACTTTAGGAAGTGGCCTTCTGATAAAGTGATTTTAAACCTCAGAGTCTTCAGGGCAAGCTTCTGGCTTCCAGTGCTGTTACTCTCCTCAATGTTGTGCTATATACTCTCTGATTTCCCTGCCACGGCTCCATGCTGTATGTAGCCGGTGACTCTTGATGACGCATTTTGATGTATTCAGCACAACCACACACTAGCATGAACCAGAGATCACCATATTTCTGGCTGTGGAGCTAGAGTAAACATGGACCTGTGCCCAGACAGTGTTGGCGGTGGCTGGAAAACCAAGACTGAGAGTCTAACAAGAGAACTGGGAAAAAATCTGTTCCACTGAAAACATGGTGCTGGAGCAAATCTGTCATCATTCAGTGTACTGAGGGTTTCAGGCAGCCCAGTTTTGATGTCAGGAGCAGGCACCGCTGTTCCCATTTCCCTGGCTCCTTCCCACTCTTCACAGTCACTCAGGAGCCATTTCCCCATATCCTAATTATGCACACGTATCAGGCAGAGCTGATAACGAAGGAGAGGAGGGTCTGATAGCTGAGTGGTTCTGCTGCAGGCTCCCTGTGTGGCCTCATCATGCCGTGGCTCAGTTTCTCCCCATAAAATAACTAACAGCACTTCCTTACCTCCCGGGTGGGTCGGGAGGATAAAAACGGCGACAGCCACAAAGTGCAAAGTTATTACAACCATCCGTCCAGAGAGACTGTCAGCTTTAGCACGTAGGCTGCTATCAGACGTGGTGCTGAGAGCATTCCCAGCGGCTGCCCTGTTGGATGGAGCACGCAATGCGCTCCTCTGGCATAGGTACCTCTAGGCTTGGAGGGTGGAACAAACTATTTTCTGCCTCAGAGGGACAAAGTAAATCTCTTCTACCAGGTTTCTCCTTTTCTTCCAGGAGAAGGTGGCAAAGGAAAACTCTGCCACCCTGGACACACTAGGGGAAATGGAGCAGGGGCTCAGACCCCTGATGGGAAGAAGCTAAGAAGCCATACCGGGAGCCATACTGGGAGCTTCTGCTCCTCCCTCCTCCACAAAAGCAACAACTAGGTGTGGAAAGATGCTGTCAAACCCTGCACCACATCAGTTCTTGCCACAAGTGCTCCCTCGCCTCTAACCACCCTGAAAGGAAGCACAGTGTAAACTGTCTCGTTAGATTTATTCCAGACGCCTGCTGTGGTGCATTAGGAGATTAACATATTGACTATGAAAAGCCCACTAATTTTAAGGAGAACTCTGTACTTAAACTGAAAGAAGTTTTGCAGAGATCAGCAGTTCATCTGATGCTAGGGAACCAGGGAAACCTGTTAACAGCAGACTCTGTGGATAATTGAGAAAATTATTCAATGCTGCTTTTAAAGGACCTTCGATTACAATAGTGCATGGGTTGGTAATACTTTGCTCCTAATCTTTTCAAATACACATTTGTAATCATTTGTTTATCGCTAGCTTTTACCTTGCAATCAGACAAAGACGGGCTTTGCTCCTAGTGGAGCTCCAGCTAAGCAGGGTAAGCCAAGTCAGACATTGCAAGAAAGATTATGGACAAATATGTCTATCTGATGCAGGAGGTTTGTTTTGTTGGTGGGGTTTTTTTTTGGACATAATGTATTACATACAACCAAACCAGGCATTGAAGTATTACTTGATAAAAAGCAGGAGAAGAAACCAACACCTGAAAATTATACAAGCTAAACGACAGTGCTGGAGACGGAGAGCAAGGCAGCCCACGGGGCAGGGAGGAGCGGAGGCAGAGACACGAGTACCCAGGGGAGCTCAGCATGGTGGGGTGGGAGGGATAAACCTGCTGAAAGAAACGGGACTGGCACCGCGCCCAACATACGCATCCTGGAGCCTGGCAGACTTCCCCCAAGAACCAGTTCCACGAGCAAAGCTCCATCAGTTAGACCATCCTGCCACCACGGCCGATCAACGAGAGCAGCCTGCCCATGGCCGCCTGCGTCTTCTAGGCAAAGGGGAGGAAGAGGAGCGCGTTACACCTCTCGCACCACAACTTATTTGTTTACATGGCTTCAGCCATGCTATGCACCTACGCTTACTGAGCTCTACAGAAATCAGCAGGGACAATAAGTAATGCTTTCACAGCCAGCTGCTCCCATGCCTCCTTCACTTGGCCAGATAAGCACATAGCGCATACTTCTTTTTTACTATCAGGGAGCAATCACAAGCAAATGCCATGAAAATCTGGCCCTAAAACAGTACGTGGAGCAAAAATTAGCCCCGGAGCAATTGGAGGTTTGGCCATGTTTCACACTTTTTCATCCAGACATACCAAGCAGCAAGAAAGCTGGTGAAAACGGAGAGCCGGGAGCTCTCCTGGTGGACCAGAAACCCGTCTGCTGGGACTCGGTGGTGGTGGCTCTGGAGCAGCCTCTCTGTGCTCCAGGGCAGGCAGCGCAGCTGGAGAAAAAAGGGACACACCAAGGGCATGCGAGGCTGCCAGGGAGCCACAGCAAGGACAGCGTGACATGGCTTGCAGACAGCGGAGTCCCAGCTCGCCCCAGAAACCATGTCCCCAACCCTGGTGTGCATCTGCCCTCTCCTCATTCCTGAGCAGCACCATGTGAAGTGCCCACCTGGGACAACCACCTTGATTTAAAAAAACAAACCAGCCATCAATTCAGGAACCCAGAGCTCCTGCCTTTCCTCAAGGTGGATTTCTTCAGAAGCCAACGATTCTTATTCCCCCACCCAATCTTGTCAGCAGTGGTCCAGGTGCGAACTGTTTTTGTTGAGGTGAGCTGTTGCTCCAGTTTTGTCTTGTCCCTGTCTTTCACCTTTACTTCACATGAGGAAGATGCATATTGCATTTCACATAAGCCCAGGCGTATGCGAGTGATTATGTGTGACCAGCTACATATAATTATCTCAGATGTAGGCCTGTAAATGATTCATTAAGATCTGTATCAGCTAGTTATTTAATGTGTCCTGCTAATTAAAACTTTGTGATAAAAACAAGTACAGCCTTCTGTAATTATGCCTCTGGACGGTGCGATGTACTTCCAACTAGTATTTGCAATTCTGGGTGTAAGTTGACACTTAAAGTAGGGTAGAAAAATATAGGCTAACTGCTGCTCTTAATTGGCCTTCGTTACTAAGATTATTGTAGAATTTCATTCTACAACACCCTGGGACTCTTCTGCATAGTGCACATTACAGGCACCGTTAGGTGATGATGCAGTACACTGCATTATCCTTTTGTATACCTGAGAAGCTTGTGAAAAACAAACAAACAAACAAGAATATTGCACCTAGAAGGAATGTATCTGACTTGGCTATCTGAGGGGAGGCTAACTGCTGCTCTTAATTGGCCTTCGTTACTAAGATTATTGTAGAATTTCATTCTACAACACCCTGGGACTCTTCTGCATAGTGCACATTACAGGCACCGTTAGGTGATGATGCAGTACACTGCATTATCCTTTTGTATACCTGAGAAGCTTGTGAAAAACAAACAAACAAACAAACAAGAATATTGCACCTAGAAGGAATGTATCTGACTTGGCTCATCTGAGGGGGAGGTGGGGTTGGAAAGTGGACCAAAGACACATTTGAGGAAATGCAGCATGTTTTACTCTATAGGATCAAACTTGGCATTTCTTGCTTAAGCCAGAGATTCGGCTCACTGTAAGCTTCTCCTGAGTAAGGTCCACACATCTGTGGTCACTATACACTGGATCCAGCTTCCATCAGCGCCAGTAGGAAGAAACACAGTGACTCAGAAAGCACATTAGGTTCCGTGTTTCACTGGTCAAAAAGGGAGCTACACCAAGCTTACATCAGTGTAACTAAGTAGGTCTCACTCAGTTTGTCCCCAGTCTTGTTCTCTCAAAATATGCTTGGCGTTGAAGGGAATATGCCTACGTACAAAACAGGTAGGCACTTTAAAACATTTTCTTGGGATGGCTACCCATGTAATAAAACATCAGTAACAAGTGATAAATGCTAAGTAAAAGGAGCTTTTCCTAAGCAGCTTATGCTAAGAAAATAAATCTTGCCATACTACCAAAAGAGTACATTAAGAGTTGTCCTTCTAATCTCATTGGCAGCCTGATATCACCACTAGGATAAATGTAAGATTGATCACCTCTGTGGCTCTTACACTGCAGGTTCTGCTTGGCTAATCACAATGGGAGATGACTGCCCTTGTGTAGACACTTGGTGTCTCCTGGGAGGATGCTCAGCTCGCTCCTGTCGTCATCAGAGCAGGGCATGTTTCACCCAGGGCCATGACTCAGGTGTAACTTGTTGGCTCTTGTTAGCCACAGAGCATTGCCTAAACCCTAAAGTCTGCATCCCATGGGAGCAATGCACTAATCTAAACTGCAGTTAGTTTCTACAAACACTAATTTGTGAAGACAAAACGAAAACTATGGAAGATAGAAGATATGTCTATCAAATGCATTTGAGTCCCTAAAGGTGACCTGGTATAGTCCATACCACCGTGGCCAGCACCAGTAATGCACCAGGGAAGGAGAAGCAAGAAGTAAACTACGTGCCAACCCTAAATGCTTTCTTCTCCCTGCTGTCTCTTTCCAGCTTCTCATCTCCAGCCTCATTCACGTGGTACCATGTCCTAGAAAGCTACTACAGGACAGAGCTAGAATGCAATAGGTGAAGAAAGTCTTTAAATATAACTGTGGTTTAGTTAAAGTTTTTACTGCCTGATTGACCTTGTGAAAAGTCATAGCATGAAAGTAGTATCTAAAAACTTTGGCCATATCAAACAGGCTGTCCCTCATACAAGAAAATCAACGAAGCCTGGTTTCCTACAGACCTGTGTCTCAGACCACCTTATGGTGGCTCTTCTATTTACTTTCCAGTTATTCTCACGGTACAGTGGACATGATTAGTCCTTAGTCATCTTGTATCAACTGTTCTTTGGCATGTGTTGAAGTCTGAATTTCAGGTTAAGCTCTTCAGTGCCCTGTGATATCAGCCATTGCCGATTACACCGCTGATAGCAGCCTCGCGATTACTCTGGGGAGCACTCACGGTGTAGTTTTCTCCTCTGTGGGAGCATTTCACAGGGTTTCTCTATCCAGTGATCTACTTTCATTAAACTGATAGGAACTTAACTATGTTTGAGACTCCTACTGGTAGTTTATCAAAAGTGATTCAGACTGGTCAGTCTCAAATAAGGAGGTACAGACCAAGTGAGTGTTTAAGTTTCAAACCTCCCATGAGACAAAAAAGTTCATGAAACAGGATAGCCTTTTGTCTGCGCCAGCTCTAGCCTGTGATGTCCGTGACAACACCAGAACATTGTTATTAGCTGGTAGGGGAGGGATCTGGGCTTAGAAAAGAGGGTGATGAAGCTGAAGCTGTTCAGGAGTTCCTCAGCAAGCACCACCCTTGCTCCTGTCTTAGAGGGATCCTGCTGTCTTTGAAAGATGTCTCAGACATCTTTGTTCTTCTTTAGAAGCATCTTGCAGAGTGGCCCCACTGACCCGCACTTTTCCCACCGAGGGAAATAGGGCAGCAGGAAACGCTCAAAGGGCTCATCTGTAGGTAGCTCAGCTCCATTTTCCCAGACTATTGATATGGCCACCTCAGTAAAATGCCCAGGGCAGACAAGAAGAGGCACCACTTCTATGGGGTGATAAAATCCAGTCAAGCTCACCCTGACCTGAAACTATAAGGAAAGACAGCTTATCCCTGTCAAGGTTCAC